GCGGCAGGTTCAGTCCTGCAGCGGATTCGGCATTGCAGCGAGCCACAAAAGCTGCTCAAGGGCAGAAACATGCCAAGAGCTTCTGATTTCCTGCTCTTCTGCTGCTTTTGGGATGGGGCCTGCAATCTCCTATTTGGTCCTCTTCCAATGCCAGGGCTGGGTGAGCATCCCAAACCATCCATATGCATGTACAGAGTGGGAGACAAGAGTGTGTGAGGATTGGGTCCCTTTTGCCCGTGAAGAAGTGGCCGCCGCCTGGAAGGCAAGAGCACGTTCAGAAGGGCTGAGTCAGACAACGCTGAGAAGCCATGGACAAGTTAGGCGGTAAGACGACATTGCTGCACGGAGCAATGCTTCCATCTGCTGGCGAGTCTACGTTTTGTTCAGAAACCCATAAACCTGATGAAGGGCTGGCAGGACTGCAGGTGTTTTGTTTGCACTGGTAGGTCGGAGGCACAACAGATGAAAGGCACTATCAATAGTCAACAAAAGGAACCAGAGAGAGTAAGAGGAAAAGTCAAAATGGTGCAGGACAGTAACTGGTGCGGATCACTTCCATGGAAGGTTGTCCTGTGAAGATCCTAAAACAGCGCTGTGGTCACTGGCCCAGCTTCTACTGCATGTTGTGGACCGGCGACTCGCTTGGTTTGAGCAGAAGATCTGTTTAGCGTGTTTGAGAGCATTTTTGCCAAATGGGACGAGTGCAGCTTGGTTTACGTTCATCCCTCCGCACAGCACGTCTGAGTCTCAAGCCCTCTCCCCACCCTAGTCAAAATGCCATGGAGGGCACAAAGCCGACAGTGCTCACTGAAAGCACCACTGGTGTCATGTGGCAACGCTCTTCCTCTCCAGGGGCTGGGAAGCTGGTCAGGACGGAGGGCAAGACGGATGGAGGTTGACACAAAAGGCTGCTTCCGTCTTGAGGGACCAGGGACTCGGGCAGAGCAGGGCAAGGACCTGAGGACACTGCCAACGTCACGCTGGAGCGTTCCAAAATGGTGTCTCCACATGTCTTACAGTGGCCCCGGCCTCAAGGCAACTCTTGGCGGCGGCTGCTCACCAGTGGTCCCCAACCAACCTGATGGAGCTCTGGCAGTTTGGACGGCAAGAATGTGCAAACCGCACCGCAAGGGGCCATGGCTAGCGAGCTGCCCCACCGCTGTGATAATTAGTGGATGGACCCAAGCCCACAGCTAAAAGGTGCCAAATTCAGAGGGAGAAACATTGCAGGTAACGGTTGCCAAGGGTTGTTTGAATGGGGCAGTGAAACGAGAGTGAGGACTGGCTGGCATTGTCCAAATTTGCAACCTGTTGCCAGGAGGGTGGGAAGAAGAGGCCAAGGATGCGATCTCAGCTTGTATATTTGGCTGGAGAAAAATGAAGTCCAGCACTGTGCTGCAAAAGCCCTTTGCTTGACCAACATCATATTTCTACCTCCATTTCTTCGGTTTTGTTCGAGAGCCTGAAGCCGAGCATGTCAAAGGGGAAAAGTTTTGCTTGGAGCCGGAGCCTGGTCACTTCCAGGGCAGCTGCATCCGGGCTTTGGCAGTCCAACTGTTCAGTGGGGCAGGGAACTGAAGGAAATGCCACGGTGCCCCATAGGCAGCTCACTCAGATCATGGCGACAGGTCTGTGGCAAAGTTTTTCCTTTGGTTGGGGAACCACCACAACAGGGTGCCTGTGTTGGAAACCCCCTGCCCTCTCTCCCGGGCCTCCCCAGGCTCCCTTAGTTCCAGAGAGAAGTTCTCCTGGCTCCCTTTCTCAGTGGAGTGGAGCCCCTTCCTTGCCTGGGTGGAAATTTCAGAGATTCACCTTGGGTTTTCACCTGCTGACTGCCCTGGAATGGCTCCTCCCCACCTCTGGGATGGATTCTCGGGGATTCCTATTGCACAGGAATAAATTGACTAAGTGATGGCGCTTGGCCTGCAGAGGATGGCCTGGCCCTTTGTTTAAGTCTGCAAAAGCGTTTTCTGCCTCTGGGATCCAGGCAAGAGGGAGTCAGCGTGGCCCTGCTGAGTGGCTCAAGCAAAACCCCTCCAAACCCATCTTCACATCGAAGTATTCTCCACCTTCCGTTCAAGAAACTAACTTCAGCTTCACTGATTTCAAGGGGGCTACTCGAAGTCCAGCTAAGTTTTGCTGCCAGCCATTCTTTTTATTTAAAAGGTCCAAGAAAGCCCAGCCTGTTCCGCTGCTTTCGAACTCTGCACCCCCCTCCTGTCTTTTCCTTCATTTTACCCTTGCTGCAGTTTTACTGTAATGAAATACCATGATACTGTAAATCTTTGCAGTAATTTGACACTTAATTTACCACCAAAATTGGTCGTAAGACATAAGCATGAGCTATTTTCAGTAACTCTGGAGTTGTGTTTGCAATAAATGTTGTGCAGAGTCAACCTCTCCCTGGAGCCTGGAGCGAGTGGCTGGCTGCTGTGCTTAGCATGCCAATGGAAGGAAATTATGAACCTTTAAAGGAGGATTTTTCTCCCTCTTGTAGCATAGTGCTAATCAATCAGCAATCTTGCAGCTAACTCTGGGGAGAATTTTTAGTTGCCTTCATAAAATAGTTTAATTATCTAAAAAAATAGTAAAATAGAAGTAGGCGCAATTCACTTGCAGCTTGGGAGGGTAATATGAGCAAAAGGAAAAGATAAATGTTTGCTTTCCATGAACGTAAATCAGCCTTTAAAATATGAAATGTGATGTGGGTGTGGGAAACGAAGGAGTTATTGGCAATACTTACCTTTGCAATAATAGGAATAAATGTGAGAGCGCCTAGTTAAGTGCTCATCCTTATAGGGGAGGGGGAGGGAGAGAGAGGCCCTACCTTTTCCCACCGTACATTAATTCCCTGCTTTTGTGTGCTTTGCAACTGCTCATTTCTTCTTTTGAAAGCGCTGCTTCTGGACCGGGCCTTCCAAGTGAAAGCTCACGATGAGCTGCCGCACGGATCCAGTGGAATGCCACCGTGGCTCTGTCTGAGCTTGTAAACTAACCCAACAGGACGCAACAGACTTAGACAACGTGGGTGGAGCAAGCCTGGAATAGTTGTTTGTGGCTGATTTTGCAGTCGCAGGGTTGCAATTATGAACACAAGCCTGCAAGGAACACAAGGGGTGGATGAGAGCCTCACTCTGCAGCGGTGCCAGGCTCTCCGTGCCCTGGATGAGGGCAGATGGTCTCAGCCAACAGGACAGAGATTCCGTTGGCAGGTGCTTGCCCACCGGGATGAGCGCTGTTCAGTGGGACACTGAACTCACCAAAAGGCAGCCTTCCTGAGCCAGGTGCCTGCCAGATGCTTTGGACCACAACTCACTCATCATCCCCAGCCCAACACATTCTGGGCCTGATGGCTCAATCCCACTCCTGGAAGTTCTCAAGAGCACTGCAGTGCATTTTCAGCGGGGCGCACGCCTCCTGCGAGAGGAGCATCAATGCACGAGCTCCATTCTCCTTGAGCACGCTTCTCCTTGTCACTGCAGCTCAGAGAACTGACCAGAGCACCAAAATGCAGGCGGGGGAAGGGTGCCTGATGCTTCTGCACCCTTGGAAACAGCAGGCTTTGCAGCAAGAATGGAACTTTCCAAAAGCTCACCCATGTGATGGGAGGCGTGAAAAGGAGAGCCCAAATCATTTGCCTATGTAGTGAGAATGCTTATCAAAATATCTTCTGATACCGAGAGTTATGTGGCTAGGAGGACAGAAGATTAAACTGCAGTTCACATCCATGCAAGAATCTGTTGCAATATCCATGCAAGGATATGTTGATATGTTGGCGACATGCAGGTATGTGAGGGGATGTCACATGGAGGTGGGTAGAGACCTGTTCTCCCCTGCAGAGGAAGGCAGGATGCGCCCCAACAGAGCAAAGCTCAGGGAACCAAGGTGCAATTTGGATGCCAGGAAGCATTTCCTGACGGTCAGGACCCCGAGGGTGTGGAATGGGCTTCCACGAGAGGTGGTTGAGGCCCCATCGGTGAGGGTGTTCAAAGATAGGCTGGATATGCACATGGCGGGCATGTCGTGAGCAGAGCCGGCTGGAGCCGGGGGGAGCCGGGGGGGTCGTGAGCAGAGCCGGCTGGATGGCCTGGGAGGCCCCTTCTGACTCGCTCTGTTTCTTTGTTTCTAATCAAGATATATTTATCAATGATGCAAGTCAGACGACCCAGAATAGGAACCTCAGGAAGCATCCAGGCCTTGAGTTAAATAGGAACCAGTGTAATATATTCTCAAATTTTAATGTATTTAAGCTTCCTTTGTTTTGGTTTACAAAAGGCTCATCAATCTACAGATTAGTTGTATGCTGCTGTTCTTTTCTAGTGGCCAATATGGGATCAGAAAGGGGACAGGCTTGGTTAAATTTCCCAGCTGTTCTTTACAAATATAAGCACTTGTTGAATCCACAGTATAAGGACAAAGCAACACGGGGAGCTGCCCCATTCAGAGCTACTCCGCTGGTGCACCAAGCCCAGTGTTGTCTGCACTGGTTGGCAGCAGCTTCCCAGGATTCTGTCTGAGTCTTCTGCATGCAGGTGCTTGTAGCCCCTTTGGAAGCGTGGGCTTTTTCTTGCACCATTGGCTAGCTCCTCTGTGACTAAGGCCTAAGAGGGTAAAAATGAGAAGATGGTGCTGGACATGAAGGAGAAACCTCAAAGGAAGAATGCTTCCCCTTCCAAGATGGAGCCTTCCCTGCAACCTGGTACAGTCCCAACAGCCACTGGGCCCATAAATGTCCCTGCCAAAGTGCCGCCACTTCATCTTCACTGGCCAAGCTAGTCCATATGCCCCTGGCAAGTGAGAGAGAGAGGTGTCCAACATTTTGCATAAAATCATCGGAAAGGCCTGAATATTTGAATCTTCCCACATTCGGGGCTGTAACATTTTATATGTGAAGATTAAATTTTATACCAAGGACTGCAGTTCTCCTGGCCTCACTGCGATCATTAGCCAGGACGGTAATAGAAGGGCTGCAATCTGGACACTTGACCAAATCTCTTAACTGTGTTTATAGCAGGAGTTTATTTTACGAAGTCAAAGTGGCAACACATCAACCCGGCCTGGAGGCCCTTCCCACGTCCTTCCTGGTGTCTCTCGTGGACTATAGTTTGAATGCGAGAGTCAGCCCATCCCCCATCAGGATCATGCTTATATTCACGCGTGGATCATGCAGGATCTTTTCATTCAGCTGGTGCATGCTCTGGACCACTCGGTCATCTTTCCCCGGGTTAAGTACTTTGCCAGACAGCAGAACCTGAGGGAGGGAGGGAGGGAGGGGAGATGGTCGGGAAGGAAGAGAGAGAAGAATTTGCATGTGCGACTGGCGGTTGGAGCTGGAATCTGCCCTCGCCTGCCCTGGGGCTGAGCATGCGCATCCTCTCCGAGCGTTCTCCAGCTGCACATGCGACTAATGCACGGCTGGCCCTGCGTTACTCATGGGCTCAGCCAGCGGGAAAGGAGTGCTGGTGATGTTGCAAGCATCATCGGGAAAAAAGGAGCATTCTGAAAGCCTCTTCTTCCAACCTCCCAGAGAAACTTTAACACGTTAAGGCAATGATGGAGGCAGTGAAAGCAGGCTGGGCTGGGGAGCAGCTTGTCCCACGGAACAGCACTGGCCCGGCCAAAGCCCTCTCTCTGACCCCACCGCCTCAGGCTCTGCCAGCCCCGGCTGGCCAGCAGCTCAGGTCACGAGTGCTTCCTCCACTTCGGGCTGCCGGGGTACCACTGCCGTTACAGGGAATGGGCTGCACAGGGCTCCAGGCCAGATCTGAGGGTGGAGCACCCAGCATCCCCGTACTTTTGGGTGAAAATAGGTGGACAGCCACTCAGAGTTGGAGCTAACTCTCGGTCTCCTCTCACCACAATTCTTACTCTGCCACAAGGGAAGCTTTTCCAAGCCACACTTTAAAGTTGGATGTTCTGGATACAGACCCGGGATCTACAGGGCACTGCTTTGTCATTGACCCACGGTTCAGAGGCACCCTGGAACAGGAAGGCCACGCTGCAGAAGGGAAGGAAGGGTTTTCTCCCATGGGGTGGGAGAGCTGCACAAGGATCCTGTCTCACTGCTGAACCGCACACGGACACGACGGTCCAAGCACACAATGCAGAGGGGAAATTAATATAGTTCCTGCACAACAAAGGGAGAGCAAGTCCTTGTGATTTCACACCGACCGTTAAAGGAAGAACTACGGAAGCTGGGCTCACCTCACGGGGCCTGCTGGTGGATCTGAAGGGGTTTATCCCACTCTTACTATGGGGCAAGAGTGGGTACCTTGGCATGAGCCTTCCCTTGTGAGGTAAACTCTACTGGCTTTGCAGCTTGGCGTCCCGGACCCAACCTACATGAAATGCAGCTCACCAGAGTGCTGTGTTTGTTTTATCCGAAGCATTAAAGGCCTTCACTGAATGGAGGGCACCAGTACTGGTGCAACTATTTACGTCCAGCTGAACAGAAGAAGGCAATGCTGATCTCCATATACAAAGGATGGAGAGAAGACTCCACTCTGTGTTTGCTTGATATGCCTGGGAATGTATATCCTTGGCATCTCCTAATTAGTTCGGAAGACCGGGTAGCATCTGATGTATTGCTGTAGGAACAGGCTGCCTTTTAAGCCTCCAGGTGCATAATTGATCACGGGTTCCCTCCATGCTATTTTACATAAAAGCAGACTGCAAACTCCACTCAGACTCAGTATGTAGCCTGTATTGATCTTAGTTCTGCATTTGATACCCCACCATGAGATCGGCTTTGGAAAAAGCTTGAGGAGATGCAAAGAGATAACCATCTCTTAGCATGTGAAGCATCTTTGTATACTAATACCTCATTTAAAACTAGGGCTGGTGTCCATGGGAAACTTTCCAATTCTCTCAGAACCACAAAATGCCTGCCAAGGATGTATCTTGGCACTGCTGCTTTTTAACTGAGATATAAATAATGGAGTTTTGCAGCTATTTGGAGCTCAGTATTTCCCACCCCAAATAGGTGAAAATAATTCCACTCCTTTATATCTAGATGACAGAGAATTGCTCCTTTTAAGGCAGATTTTGGGTCACTGTAAAAATGAAGACTTGCAACCAAACTGCTTGTTTTCCAGAAAAGGCCTTGTAAACATCTTTGTAAGATGGCTAGGAGAGAAATGGAACAACGATGAGCCTTTTTGCTACCTGGAGGTGATATTTCCACAATCGGGAAGCGGGACACAGCACACACCCTTTCAAAAGGAGAAATTAGCTCCGGGAATTTTACATTTTCATAGAACTAGAGGTTAACACCCTAATGGCTCCAGTGCCAGAACTGTGTAATAGGAAACTACTCCCACAGCTTCTCTACAGGACTACAGCAGGGGCTGCTGGGAATGGATGAACTGGAAAAATGTTCTTATAACCACCCCTTTTGTGCCTTCCGTCAGCCCCTGTGGATCGAGGGTGAGGGTTAGGCATGCTGCATGCAGCGGCATACAGTGCCCTGCAGAACGATTTGTTCCCCTTTGTCTTTTCCATTTTGTTAAGTTACAACCTGGGCCTGAAAGGGATTTCACTGGCATTGCTGCCACTTGATGTGCACAAGAGACTCAGTGCTGAGAAAGCACGGAATGCATTCCGATATTTCCGATATATTTTTTTCCGATACAGCCTGCCTTTTTCCTACAAAGGGCTCAAGGCAGCTTACATCTGCTCCTCCATCTTATCCCCACAACAACAACCCTGTGAGGTGGGTTGGGCTGAGAGTCTGTGACTGGCCCAGAGTCACCCAGTGGGCTCCAGGGCTGAGCGGGGACCAGAACCCAGATCCTCTGAGTCCCAGTCCCATGCTCTTACCCACTGCACCACACTGGCTCTCGGTCCCACAAACGTTCAGTGCATAAAATTAAACTTGTTCAGGGCAAGGGTGCTCCCAGGGCAGTGGCTGCCAAGGGCATTTCCATGAGGCCTTGATTTGTGGGGGTGAATACCTGCTTGGCCTGGAAATGCCACTGACCCTTTCTGTTCACTTCTGTGGTACTCACGTTGTCCAGCGCGATTATTCCCCCTTTCCTTATGAGCTGTAAACACTTCTCATAGTAGTCGTTGTAGCTCTCTTTGTCAGCATCAATGAAAGCAAAATCATACGTTCCAGCTTCGCCGTTTGCCAGCAGTTCATCTAGGCATGCAAACAGTTCTCTTTAGAAACCTGCTGCTAAGGTTCCCCGCACCCGTTGAACCAGGCTGGGCTCTTTTGGGGAGGAAATAAGCCAGTCCAGTTATCGACACATGCCGCTCCGACACGAGACCCGTTTGGAAACCCTGTGTGTGCAGGGAAAATCAGATGCACCCCAGGCTTCCCCTGAGGGTAGGGAGAGCGGGAAGCAAGACCGCCACTGTGCCTGGCTGGATTCAGTGCAACGCTTTGCCCGCTCAGGGCTGTGGATTGCTCGGGGAACGGCAGCAGTTCTCAGCCGGCTGCTTCGATGCAGGGTCCATGCGGCAGCAGACCCGGAAAAAAGCCAGCAAGTTTCCACTCGCCCGTAGGCGTCCAGGGCCGCCTTTGCCGCATTAATCCACCTTAAGCTGCTTCGTTTGATAGAGAAGCAGAGACTGCTTACTCAAAATAAACAGAACGCAAGCGGATTGCTGTAAGTAACCACTCAATATCGTTTGGAGGAGTCAAGCAGTGACTCTATTTCTTCTGTCCAGTCTTGGAAACTCTGGGAAATGCCGAGCAATCTAAACAAGGGTGCACGAGGGGCAGGGGTTCATGCATGGCACAGCGATGGCATGTTGCACCACACTCCGTGATGAGTTTTCAGTAGGTGTCTCGAGTTTTCCAGGTCTCAGTCCCACCCCAGGGAAGTCACGCTTTAACCAAAGTGAAGTCCTGAAATTGTTCTGCTTAACAAAGATTCAAAGGTAGCTAAATATTTCAATCCACTTAGCAAACTATCTCAGTGACTTTCACTAATATCGCACAGTGGATGTTTTTATCGCATGCAGGGTTCAGAGAAAGCAGAAGGATGGGGGTCTTTCCACAAAGGTCTGATGGAACAGTCACCCCTCCCCACTTTTCAGCTCACCGCTGAGCGGAGGAGCTGCTTCACTGTCATTTCTGCTTGGCTTCCATGGGGCTCCAGTGAGCCGTGATATTTCTCTTCTGTAACATTTCTGGACATTTACTCACCTAGTGTTTGGAGGGCTGGTTTAATTCTTAGGTCAATTTTATGCTCCACTCCTGCCTGAAATGAAAGAAACCATTAATCCTCCTGAAAGCACCTTAAAGGTGAAATGGCTTTTTTTTTTGGAGGTGAGAGGCTTGGCAAAACATTGCCTTTGCATTTTGAATCCCTCCATCATTTCTAGCATCCAGATATTAGTTGGTTAAGTTTAAGAGGACTTCACAGCCTTGACCCTGAGTACCACAAAGATACCAAAAAGACAGCTTGTAGTTTCTGGAGCCCTGAACCACCATCTGCAAAAGTTGTGAGCCCACGGAAAGCTCTGACACCAGATATGCGGCCACTGTGGAACCAACTCCGTGTTCTTCATCGTGGCCTCTGTGCATCACACATATGGGTGCTGCACCTGCGCAGTGCCTGTAGCTGGGAAGATTTGAAAGCTTAATGGTTTTTTGCGGGAACGCCATGCCCCGCCCCACTGCAGTATAAGAAGGCAGAGTGCCTGCCATTTTCCCAGTCTTCTTGCAACCGCCGGTCGCTGTGCCTCGAGCCTTTTGTCTCTCAGTTCGTAGCTATATTGTGTATCTTGATCCCCTTTGAACCATTGCTCTCTGTTCTCTTAGCTTTCTTGTTAAGATTTCCAAGTTATTCATCCCTCCCCATCAGAAGTTTTCTTCACATCCCCTCTTTTTACCCTCCTCCACCCCAAAAGTGTATTCTCTTCTTACATTTCTCATCTTCGCTATCTTCTCTTTTTCAATCTCGATGGCTCAGTGTGTGGCTTTTTGCAAGTGTTCTCAGTGCAGGACCAAGATGTCCCGCACTGATCCGCACGACCTGTACCTTCTTTGCCTCAGAGAAGGTCACAGGACCGGTAAGTGCGGCCATTACCAGGCCGTCACCAAGCAGGCGTGAACTGCCTGCACAAGCTTCTCTGGGCCCAGGCCTCGGTCACATCTGATCAACTGGTGGCCCAATCCGCTGCGCAGCCCTCCTCTTTGGCTGCCCCTCCGCCCCACCCATCAGCTGATTGTGCTACTCTGCTGGAGGGCAAACCTTCTCTAAGTCTCATCACAAACAAAAGGAGAAGAGGAAGCACAGTGGATCCGACCAGTCCTTGGGCCATAAGAAGGACAAGGCGGACAAGATGTCTCACGAGACCAACAAGGCCGATCAGCCCTGTCACCGTGATTCAGGATTGTCTGCCCCATCGGTCCCGATGGCTGCTTCAGTACTGGCACCAACCAGACCAGTTCTCCAACTGGCAATGCAGGTGACCCTGCCAGAGTCCCCATGATGGGTCGCTCCTTCCATTTTGGTCTTGCCAGAACATCAGGAGGCAGCCATACTGGGACCAATTTCCTTTTTTTTATAATAAAGATTTTTATTAAGATTTTAAACTAAAAACTAAAAAACATCAATCATCAAATACATCAGATGTACTGGGTCAGCCCCCTATAACATATCTTTTTAACATTCTATAATCATATTCAAATTGATTTATAAAAATTTAAAGACATCTTTACATCTAAGCCAAGTCCCGTTTCTCCAGCCAATCATAAAAAAGGTCCCAAGTTTGGTAGAAGTCAGTATCTTCTTTCTCCTTCAGTAATAGAGTCAAACTGTCCATTTCTGCACAGTCCAGAATCTTTTTTAAAATCAGTTCCTCAGTGGGTAGTTCCTCACTCTTCCAGTATTGAGCAAGCGCAATCCTCGCCGCTGTGGGATCAATTTCCGACAGAGAGATCCGGGACGCTCCACAGATGGCTCCTTTGATGGCATGCTCACGTACCCTGCAGCCGTCACCTGAGGCTTCCCTGAGGGCCCCACCTCAGCAGGTGTGGTACCAGCAGCCTGTTACCATCTCTCCCTCCGGAGAATGAGTGCAAGTGCCGCATGGATCTCCCCATCATGAACCATGGGACGGCGATGCACCATACGGGTATTATACATCGGTGCACCAGCGTACACTGTCTCCGATCCCGAGGGATGCTCCACTGAAGTCTGCGGCAGTTCAGACCAGGCGCCCTTCCTCGCCGGCCAGCTCCTTCTCCAGTCCTCCACTCCATGATGATTCGGAATCAGATGTAGCGTCCACCTCACCGGATGCGGTGATCACCACACAGGGTCCCAGCTCACCCGAGGAGTCGCATTCAACGACTGGAGAACCGATGGAAAGATTGGCTAGGTCACTAGAGTTCGAAGCCCAGCACCGCTTCGATCCCAGTACCGATAAGTTCTATAACATCGTGAAGAGAGAAAAATCCGCCACCTTCATTCTGCCACTCATCATGACGCTCCGTCAGGCGATGATGGAACCGTGGAACTTCCCCAGCCAGCCGCAGCCGACTTCACGACGTTACGAATCCATGTATCGATTTTGTGAACAGGGCATCCCATTCCTCCTGCGTCACCCAAGGCCGAACTCGATCACCATGGCGTCGTCCCAGGGTCGCGAGTCAAGAGAACACACTGCTCCTTGTGATGAGGAAGGGCGGAAGATCGACACGATGGCCCACCATATTGACGCCGCCTCAGGTCTCGGGCTCCGGATCTCCAATTACGAGGCGATGCTGGCTCGCTGCCAGTATTCCCTTATGCAAAAACTGGAGAATATGACAGCGTCGCTCCCAGAGCAACAGAGGGACCTGGCTCGTGTCTTCACCAAGGAGGCGATGCAGGTGGCGATTCAACAGCTCTCTACGGCGAGACATCATGTCGATTGCGACTCGAGGGCCCTCTTGGGTGCTGTAGCCCTTTGTCGCCATGCCTGGCTCTGGAACTGCAATTTTCTGGGTGAGACCAAGCGCCGCACAGAGAACATGCCCGTTGATGGCTCAGGGCTGTTCAGTGCCAGGACGGACCACAAGCTCAAGACTATCCACGAATCCCACGTGACAGCTCAGCGTATGGAAGTCCCCAGCCAATCCAGACATCAATGGTCTTGGTACCGTCCCTCCTACTGATATCAACCTACCTGCAGTTCTCTGGCCGGCAGCAGTTTCAGCCTCGCCAGCAGCACCGAAAACAACCAGCGCAGTGCTATCAGCAGAGCCGTTGCTGCCCGGATTCTGATAAGCGCCAGTGCTGATGGGCTGAGTGAACCTTTTCTCCTCTCCTGAACCTCCCCTTCCCTCTTTCTTTTGCAGATCGACTGCAAAGTCGACTCCCCATTTGGGAGTCCATCACATCTGATCAGTGGGTTCTATCCATCATGGAGCACGGATATAGAATCGAGTTTGATACCGTACCCCAATTGGGACCGATCCAATATACATCTCTGTCATCGGTTCTCAAAGACGAGGTTCAAGAAGTTCTTTGTAAGGGAGCGATTCGACAACTCTCATGCTCCGAGAGGTTACACAGTTTCTACTCGAGATATTTTACGGTCCCAAAATGGAACAATGGTCTTCGCCTGATATTGGACTTACGTGGCATCAGCAGGTTTAGCAAAACTAAGAAGTTCTGGATGACCACGCTGCAAAACATCCTTCCGTTGCTCAGGAGAGAGGATTGGTTTGCTTCCTTGGATTTAAAGGATGCTTATTTCCATGTTAGCATCTACCCATCTCACAGGTGACTTCTTTGGTTTACGGTTCCAACCTGTTTGAATACATTTTACCACTCGGACTGGCTACTGCTCCATGGGTCTTCACCAAATGCATGGCCCCGGTGAGTGCACGCCTTCGGCTTCAGGGAATTCAAGTATGCCCTTACCTTGACGACTGGTTGATCGTCTCCTCATCTAGAGAAGGCCTTCGATCGTCAGTCCGGACTACATGCACCCTCTTAGATGATTTGGAACTATGTATTGATTACAAAAAATTGTGCCTTGTTCCTTCACAGGTCATCGATTTTATCGGAGCCCGTCTCGATTCCACGACTGCGAGAGCCTTCCTTCCTCAAGGATGACAAGAGAAGCTTTGTGCATCCATCTGTTGACTCCACATGGACAGAACTGTTCCAGCACTGTGTATACAAAAGCTCCTTGGACACATGGCTTCCACGGTCCCCGTGGTCCCATATGCCAGACTACGGATGAGGCCCCTCCAACTCTGGTTCAACAGCCTGTTCCAACCACAACGAGATTCACCGCACTGGCCTCTTCGTCTCCCAGTCTCCGTTCTCCAGACCCTGTCATGGTGGACTATACAAAGCAATCTGTCTGTGGGGATCCTGTTCCGCCCACCTCACGCAGCACTGACTCTGTTCAGCGATGCCTCCCTCACGGGCTGGGGAACTCTATGTGCCAGCCTTCACCCTCAGGGCACCTGGAACGACCATGAGGCTGCCAGACACATCAACTACCTGGAGCGCCTGGCAGTCTTCAAAGCCCTTCGGTCATTCAAGAATACTCTTCAGGGCCAAGTCACTCCGGTGGCCTCCAGCAACATTGTGACTGTTATCAACAAACAGGGCGGAACGAAGTCTGCCTCCCCAGCCCATCTAATGATGAGACTGTGGGACTGGGGCATCCCGAGGGAAATCACCCTCCTCGCCACTTACCCAGCCGGTACCGACAATGAGGAGGCAGACGCCCTCAGCAGACAGATGCCGATGACCCACAAATGGGAGTGGGATCACCTTTTTCAGGCTTGGGGCCCTCCAGACATAGACCTATTTGCCACCCGCACGAACGTGGTCCGCAAAGCCAACTGTTCCTGAGCGGGTATCGGTCCCGGCTTGACAGACGAACACGTTCTTTTACGCGTTCCCCCCGATACCGCTCATCACGAGGACTCTCGCCAAGATCACCCTCGACGAGGCTCGGGGAATTCTCGTCATTCCCTGGTGGCCTCACCAACCCTGGTTTCCTACTGTTCTCCGTCTGTCGGACAACACCTTTCAGCGACTGCCCCTCACACCTCACCTCATAACTCAACAGAACGGGGCAGTACGACACCCGAGGGCTGTGACCAAGTCACAGAAACAGAGCGGAGAAGTGGCGCTGCGTGTCCCAAGGCCTGGCCACGGCAACCCCTGTGGCACCAAAACCTGCCCCACCATTGCAGCAGCTGTTCTGAGGACAGGAGGGGAGGGGGGAATACACTGTACAAGATACAACGTTGTTGTTGTTCAGTCACAAAGTCGTGTCCGACCCATTGCAACCCCATGGACAACATTCCTTCAGGCTCTCCTGTCCTCCACCATCCCTGAGTACACCCAGCCCCACACCCACCTCTCCAGTGACCCCATCCAGCCACCTCAACTGCTGCTGTCCACAACGTAATTTAATTTATTTAAACATTTTGAAGACCATCCCTTTACTGAAGCCTCGGGATGGTTTAACAATACAAAATGTAAAATAAAAAATAAAAAAATAAAACACAGCATCCTAATGTTTAGCTAATAATAAAACCCCAATTAAAACAGTCATTTCTTAAAACATTGGGAAAATAAAAAGGTTTTGGCCTGGTACCAAAAAGAATAAAGTTACGGCGCCAGGCGAACCTCTCTGGGGAGCGCATTCCACAATTGCGGTGCCACTGCAGAGAAGGCCCTTCTCACATGTTGTGCTCCAAATGCTTGGAAAACGAGCATGATCCTGCAAAAATCAAGCAGGCCAGACCTCTGTGGGGTTCAGCAGAAGGATTAAAACACCTACTGCTTTCTCTTCCATTAAAGTCAACGGGACTTTACGAACGCCATCCAATCTGGCTGCTGGGGACCCTCCCGACTTGGCCGACCAGCAGCATCCAGTGGGGGGGCAGAAGACTTCTAGAGGTTTTTGTCCTCCTTGCGAGGACAGGCTGAGGTGCCGCTGGGATTCTTCAGAGGAAGGCAGTGCCGTGCCCCTTGCTCCCCGGTATGCCCTGCCCCGCCCCAGCTCCGAAGTGCTCCAGCGAAGTCCGGCCAGCACTCAACGAACCACACCGGCTGCAACAGTGAGGGAGGGCTCTCAGAGGCTGGACGCCTAGCTCCAACCTCAGAGCGCTTTTCCAGGGCCAGAGCTGGGATGCCGACCCTCCGAATGCCTGTTGGGCAATGTTGGGAGGCCGCTGGACTGGGACTCAAAGCGCTTACTGCTGGCAGGGAGCCGTCCAGTACAACTGGCGTGCCGCGGAAGCATTGCCTTGAGGCCTGCGAAAACACACGTCGCAGCTGCCGAAAGCCACGCGTGTGGCCCAACAGAGTGCAAGAGCCCAGCTCTTGTGGTTGATCAAAGTGCGGTCAGAGACGCTGGAGGGGAAAGGCGCTCCAGGATATTGGAAACTTGGATGCCACTGGTGGCATCAGGAGCAGTTGCTCCCATGGCTCAATTCTGGGGACTGGAACTTGATTCCCCCAGTAGCGTTTTGAGTGGGGGTTTCTCTCACTGTTGTCCAGAGGGGCAACAGCTTAAGCAGCTCCACCTTTCAAAACTGGCTTCTGCTCCCCTGCAACTATTTTGAAGCTAAGACCCAAACCGGCCAAGTTGCCAGGAAATGCAAAGAACAGATCATATGTGAGATCCAGTGCAGTTCCCAGGAGCGCTGGGTTACCTCTTTCCACACCGGCTTTCCCATATTGGCAGAGTCTTCATTTATATCACAGGCGACGACTTTGCCTCCCTCTGGTATGATGAGAGCCATGTTCAACGTGTTGTACCCAGTAAAAACACCTGTGAAAGACCAAAATCACAAGAGACAGTTCAGTTTGGGTCTGACTTCAGCAACAAAGAGATCTGTAGCAATTTGGAACTCATCCTTATTTCTTAGATTCGTTTGAATGCCGCCCGTTAGCATTGTGCTCTCTGGTCAAGGAACACCTAATTTCAGTGAATGAGTTCAAATCTCCAGGGCCTGATGAGCTGCATCCTACAGGAACTGGCAGAAAAAAATGCTTAGAGTGCCTGTCTATTGCCTTTGAGAAATCACGGAGGGCAGCAGGAGTGCCGGAGGACCGGAGGAGGGCTAATGCTGCCCCTCTCTTCCCAAAGGGCAAAAAGGAAGATTCTGGGGACTGCAGACCAGCCAGCCTGACATCCATCCCTGGGAAAATAATGGAGCAGGTAATAAAGAAGTGAGTCTGCAAGCGCCTTGAAGCCTACAGCATAATTACTAGAAACCAGCACGGATTTCGGAAGAACAAGCCAGGCCTCATTTTTTGATCAGGCAACCTCCTTCCTTGCCTTGCTTTGTCAGTAATGCAGATCCAGAGGCAGTGGCAGAAAGACTGCGGACACCATCCTGGAGGGGCACCCACCACAGCTGGATTTCTCTTCCAGACTCCTAAAACTGATTCCCCTGAACCATCCAGAACCCAGCCATTATTATGCAAATAAGGCATTCATGTGGGAGGGATAATGTTAATAGGAATCTGGGGTGCCTTTCAAGAGCGTGCCAACAGCAACCCAGAGGCAGCTCCATTCTAGAGGACTTTTCGTCACCTGTTTGTTTGCTAAATTAAAACCAGAAGAAAAATTTGGCGTGTAGGAACTGCAAACCCAGAGGGATCTTAATTTGAAGTTTGGACAGGGCGTTTTCTCTCCCCTTTGAGTATTATTGCTGGCATCTCTGCAGGACATAAATCATGCATTTGGACGACAGAGTGAGACGGTGGGCAAGTTCTGGTGGCTGGCAGCCTGGGGCCGTTCTCCCCAGGGGCCACGCCAGTGTCTCAAGCTGGCTGCCGGCACACGCCTAGAGACCTGAGCTGCAGCTGCCGTGCAAGTCATGTTTTCACAAACACAGTTTTGCCTCAGTTTTGCTTCCTTCTCACTTAGCCCCACCGTGCCCTTTCCATATTAGCTTAGCACGGTACAGTCCCTCCCAGATTATGCCCTTCTGTGCAATTCTTTGGTGCTCACCAATGTACAGTATTTACCCTTTGATTTGTGCTGAGAGATCTACTTGCAGCCATGCACCCATTGCAGGCACTCAGCTACCCCGGGAAACCAGCCAAAGATGCTTCAGCAGTGGCTGCCACGGGATTCAGGGGCTCCTCTTTGAAAATAAGTGTCTCAGAAGCGGTTGGCCAGAGGTCACAACCTGCTTAGTCCCAGATGCTCAGCGCCCTGTCCCCAGCCAGCTCAGCCTTGTGTGATTGTCCAGAAGTGACAGAAAGAAGCAGACTTAGACTTTGGAAGTGAGAGTTCAAAGGTGAGTCACAGAGGTAACTTATTAACTTAGACATTATTTAAATATTTTGCAGTATTTGTTTTTCTATATTAATTTTCAGGGTTAGGTCCAGATTTATGCAACTGGAGGAAGAGGATTCTCCCCACCTCACCCCAAGCAACCACAGCCCCTAGGAGCCCCTCCCCCACCCCAAATCCTGTGCAGAGGAACCCCGGTGAAAAGGGTGCAGGGGGAGAGAATCCCCCTAAATGGGGAAGGCACCTTCCTGCCAGTGGATCCAGAAGGTGGATTCTGAATCCAACCTGCAGCATGTAAAGGAGGAAAGGGTAAAGATGGTTAAAATGCTGCCAAACACTTGTACAAAGAAGCAGGGGCGGGAAAGTGATGGGAGGTGGCCTTGGATACCAATTCCAGATGGGATGGAGAAGCCTTCCCACATGATTAGCAAACAGAGGGCACCCAACCCACAGATTCTGCAGCCGATTATGGTCCGAGGACGCAAATATTCCCTAAAGCATATTTGCACAGAGACTTGGCTGACACGACACGACAACTGACCATGGGTGACTTGCTGTGTTGTGTGAACCCAGGATGGCTGATTTTACATGAACGAGCCATCCTGGGAAAGCATGGCTTGTTTGGGAGCTGCTGATACCCATGGGCCTTGTTGTGTCTGAACCCAAGAGATGTTATCCTGGCTTGCTGGGAAAGGATGGAGAACTGGCCAGCCAGAGGCATGCAGGGTCTCACCCATGCTGCCGCCAGCTACCCTCGTCCCATTTCAGCTGGCAGCTCCATGGGCGTGTTTGCGGGTTCCCCTTTCGTGCTCCTGGTTTGGCATGCCATTTGTGTATGTTTCCTCGTCCCACTCATTGCTCCACAACCCATGCCAAGAAGCGACATCGGACGACACCAGGACATGGCCGCAGAAGCCCCAGCAGGGGCAGGAGAGGAGGCACGCCGGCAGCAGCTGCTCTTCCTTTGGGAGAGGGGCTGCTTACTGTATGACAACGTGAAGCAGCCTGTCCATTAAAAATGTGCTTGTGGGCTAGCAACATCGGCATGGCAGAGGAAGGAGGATGCTTGGCCAAGCCGAACAGAAGCAATTCTGCAGAACAGCGAGACTCCCTGGAGAAAAGAGCTGCTGAACAGGTTACCGCCTTCATAAGGGCTTGTAAGATTAATTGCACTGGGCAAACTTATGGATTTTTATTTATTTCATTCTATTCCTATGCTGCCCCAGAACTCGAGGGTTCTCTGGGTGGCCGACCCAATGAGTGGTGCAAGGCGACACATTTTCGCTTGGAAGCCGGCAATGCCAGGGGACCGATCACAGAAAAGGGGAGGATGCAGGGGCCAGTGAGGGGTCTGGGGCTGGATGCGCGCCAGAGGCAGTGGGAGGGCCGAGTAGCAGAGCAAGCCGCAGCAAGCCCACCCCTCTCTCTGCATTGCCCAGTGAGCGACCAGCCCATGAAGGCACGGCATGACGTCAGAACGCCCCCAGTCTCACTTACCGACTTCTATTACTTTCTTTGCCCGGATGAGCCTCGCCAGGTGTGCCATAAGCTGAGCTTCATCAATGCTCACCATCATCCTGCTAGCAGGATGGCCTGACGTGATCTGGAAGAGAAAGCCAAGTTGCACTCAGCCGCCCGCACCCAGATAGGCAGCCCCTGAAGTCTCTCCACGGTGCTGGTGATTCTGCAACCACACGGCCTGCTCCGGAGCCAGGTTCAGGCTGGTCGACGGTCCAACGAAGGCTTTGATTGAGCCTCGGCCGCCCTTGGTGCCCGACCACAGAAAGCAAGGAGCTGGATGCCTTCCGGCCCCCTCAGCCAGCGGGCCTTGGCCTCCTTTGAACAAGCTACGCGTCTCAAAAGGTTGGCTTGGCATTACTTTTTGGAATGCCCCCTTTTTACTGTAGTTTGTTTTCAGGCAGGATTCCACCCCCTGCAATTTGTTTTTATTGCTTGATATTTATGGAATTTTATGGCTTCATTGCTCCATAGCCTTGGGTAAAAAGGGGGCAATAAATGATTTAAATAATGAATTTCACGGGAGTTCAAAATCGTTAGTCAAGCCAGAGCCAAGCTGCCTCTTGGCTGTAAAACAGGTTAAGCCACAGTGATGGGGCAAGCAGGAGGGTGAGGAAACAGAGTTGATGGCATTCTGGGATACCGGTTCTTCTCTCAGGTATGGGAGCCACACGCTCCCCTTAGACGGAGCAGATGAAATTTATTTTTTGAGGCATCCGAACTGCCAAAGAGGGTTCTAAGCAGACACACATAAGAGTCCAAGGAAGCCCCAGTGACAAGGGTACTGACCAGTCTCAGCTTCTTCAGAGCCGGGTGCTCTCGTAAGGAGTGATCCAGGACATACTGCTGCAATGGAGAGTTTTTCCCAGGACCTCTTGAACTTTTGGGAGTGCCAAAAGCTGGCTGGGAACACAATCTTCTGCCTTGCAAAAGAGAAATCAGGAAGGCCATGAGGCAAAATAGCAGCATCTCCAGCTGAACGCAGTCTGAGTGGCAACATGGTGCTCCAGGGCTCCGGCACTCTTTTTTTTTTTAAATATATTTTATTAACATTTTAAACTAACACTAAAAAACATCAAAACATGGCAAACATTGGATTTACTGGGTCAGCCTCCTACTACATATTTTTTAACATTCTAAAGTCAAATTTCAAATCAATTTATCATAGTTTGAAAAACATCTCTAAATTTACGCCAGGTCCCGTTTCTCCAGCCAATTATAGAAAGAGTCCCAAGTTCGATAGAAATCAGTATCCTCTTTCTCCTTCAACGATAAAGTCAGTCTATCCATTTCTGCACAGTCCAAGATCTTTCTTACAATCAATCCATCGGTGGGCAGCTCCTCACTTTTCCAACATTGAGCAAATGCAATCCTCCAGGGCTCCGGCACTCTTGCTGGGACTGGCTAAGCTGGAAACCCCGGGCAGTGCTTCAGCACTATTGGGAAACTCGGGGGCCCTGCCCCGGGCTCTGCTCAGCCCTGGAGAAAACCTCTTCAGCTCTTGCTGCCGAACTGCACACGCCATGGTGCAATCGCACTTCTGCTTGCACGGCTGGCACGAACCCCAAAGAGGAGCAGGGCAGGAAGAGAAAAGATGAGGATCTTGCTGAAAGGAGGTCATAAATTGCTCTATGCCCTGAGTTTCGCCCAGAAAGAACTTGGATAACTTGGCCTTCTCAGCTAGGTCTTGTGCTTGTCCCATTTAGCCTCTAGGGGGAGCCCTTTCGGATCTGCTCCTGACCCCTGCAGGGTCTCGGGGAAGTAGGAAAGTGAAACCTTCTTTTTAAAGGGGAGCTGAATTCAATAGCTGCCTGTCAAAACTCGGAGTCTCTTTAAACTGGGAATTGTGAGGGTGATCTTGAGATTTGGACTGGGATGTTCTCAGAGGTATGACTCATGAGAAGTCCCCCCAATTCCCACTCGAAGCCCTCATTTTAATGGGACTCCCAAGTTTTGACAGGCAGCAGTTCTCATAAGATGAGGGTTGAACGGCAAAGAGGAGGGTCCCCAGTCTGAGCACGGGATCCTTTGGAGAGGCCGGGGCTTTCCCACCCATTGGCACTTCGGCAAATTAGCACTGATGGAATGAAGTTTCTTCAAAGTTAGTACTCTGCGCACTCTGGCGCACACACGCGCATTCAGAAGCGCCGGGCAGCCCTTCGAGGGACCTTTGGCCAAGCAGCTCGCGGTTGCCCAGGTGGAATGGGCAGAATTCCCTCCTTAAGGTTTCAGGTGGCAAAAGAGTGAGGAGCAAAACCTGCTCAGCAGCGCAGCAGCCTCGCGCCGGGCCTCCTTCCTCCGGTCTCCCGCGGGTTCTGCCCGGAGGGAAGGCGCCGCAGCGCTCGTGCGGGTCGCCCGGCCGCCCGATCCCTTCCCCAGCGGGCAGCCCACCCCTCCGGCGCTTGCCCCGCGGCGGGTGGCTCCCGGCCCGCGCCTGAGCGCAGGTACGGCGGGAGGAAGCGCCCGCGCTCCCGAAGCGCGGGCTGCTCCCAGCCGAGGGAGGCGCCTCCGTCTGGCTCCGGGGGCGGCGCGCCCAGGGCAGCCCCCGCCGGCGGGGCGTCCGGGGCCTCTTCTCCCCGCAGCGCTCGGCCTCGGCCAGGCAGCGTCCCGGCGCAGGGGCCCAGCGCCAGCGCCCCCGCGGGCCGCCTGGAAGAGGCAGGGGCGCCTCTCCAAAGCGCAGGCGCCCGCTCTCCGCGCTGCGACGGCCGCGCCCGCCCCTCCTGGCGTTGCTCCCCGCCGGGCGCGCAGCCCGGAGTGGAAGCGCCGCGCCGCGCCGCGCCGGCGGGCGCCCCTCTCGCCCCAGCAGCGGGCGAGCCTCACCTGCCAGGAAGCCGACGGCGGCCGCCGCGCCCAGCGCCACTGCGCCCAGCGCGGCTTCTCTGGAGACCCCGAAGAGAGGCATCCTGCGCGGGGAGGCGGAGGGAGGCAGGCGGGCGGGCGGGCGGACGGGCAGCGAGGGAGGGAGGGAGGGAGGGGAGGGCGGCGGGGAGGAGCGGCCCGCCCCGCCCAGGAAGCGGCGGCGCTCGGCTCGGCTCGGCTCGGCTTGCAGCGCGGCGCGCCGCGGACCTTCCAGCCGCCCGGGCGTCGCGCGCAGTTCCTCCGGGCCCGCGGCGGCGCTGCCGGTGGGGCGAGGGCGACCCCTGCCGGTCGGGACTCCGCGCAGCGCGCCAGCCGCCCGGGCGCCGCGGGGTTCGCTCCGGGCAGAGCAGCCCGGGCGGGACCCTGCAGCGAAGCCCCGGACGCCGCCAGCGGGCTGGGGGGGGGGGGCGAGGCTTTTGCGCGGGGCGCAGAGGAGCGCCCCTTGTCTTGGATCTCCGCTGGACAAGTCCTGGCGGGGGCGCCCGTGCTGCGCGGAGGCTGCCCGGCTTCTGGCGCCGCGCGAAGGACGGGCCCCGGAGCCAAGGCGGCCCCGCGCAACGCCCGCGCGTCGAGGAGGCGCTGATGGGCGCCGGGCCCCTGCGCCCAGGGCGGTTCCGGGGCGGCCGGGCCGGGCGGGGATCGGAGGCGGGCTGCGGAGAGGCGCTGGCGCACGCGCTGCCGGGCCGGCCTCGCCGCTTCGTGTAGAGGTTGGCTGCGTGGCCCGTCGCCTTTACCTGCAGCTCCGCGGAAGCGCGAAGACAGGCAAGCTGCGCTCCCGCGGAGTCTTCCTGCAAGACCGTGAGGGCCCTGGTGGGCCTCCGGGCGACCCTCTCTGGGCCTGGGACGAGCTGCCCAATGCCCCGAGCGCGAGGCATGACTCCCGAAGCCAGCCACTGCGTTCTGCTCCTGCAGTAGCTTCTGCAGCTTTTAAATGACAGCCACACATGCCGTGAATTGCATGACTCCACTGAGCAGATTGCATTATCCCAGCTTGCATCATGGCAACCAGGTCCACAAGTTGTAATACCTAGCAGTGCATAGCCGGTTAGATTTAGACGTCAGATCCACCACCTGGGTGACAATACCCGCTTGGCCTGCAGGGCAGTTGTGAGGGCGCATCCCTTTGAACGCACCAGCTAAGCCAGTGCTGTCCTAGCTCCCAGGGCAGAAGGGACGCAATTTTGCCCTCCCCACCATGGGCTGGCAAAGGCCACGCTTTGCTTCCTCCTGTGGCCAGAGAAGGACAGCAGGCTGGGTGGTGGGAAAACCTGCTCCTGGGAGCCTTTTGGCTCCAGTTGCAGGCTTTACTCTCCTTGCAGAATATTGTCCCACAGAACTGAAGGGGAGCCACTGAGACTCAGGTTTAGCACAGCATGTAAATTGTGCAGCTTGTGCTGGTGCAAAATCCCGGGAAGGCTTCTGCACACACAGGAAAACCCAGGAAGGCTTCTGCAGGCCCAGTCAAGGTTTTATGTCTTCTGGTACAGTGGAATCCATGTGACCCCAGCTGGCCTTTTTCAGGAAAGCTGGACTCGAAGGCCTTCGTCTCCTTGGACCTCTCCACATTATCTGCTTCCTCTAATTGCAAGCAGCGCTCATATACGCGATACAAAATTATTTCTTGACATGCAAAAACCGTTTCATTCAGCTGAAGCCATAAAATAAGGAAGACAACCATAATTTTCACCTCAAAATCCAAAATCCAAATCTAGAGTTCTTCAAGAAGTCAAATGTGAAATTGCTGGTCTTCTAAAAACCTTTGTACTAGGGGACTGGTACAAACACAGGGCCAGGGACAATTGGAAATGTTACAGGTTGGTTAGATTAACATCTGTTCTGGGTAAATGGGTTGAAAACTTTATTAAAGATTACATGAGTAAAGATATAGAAGGACAAGTCCTCCTAGAAGGGATCAGCATCGTGTTCTCTTCGTATCTCACTGACCATTTGGAGATATTTTCAGATTGCCAGTAATCATGTAGGGCTGATCTGTAGATGTTTGACAAAGTCCCTCGCCAAAGACTCCCGAGTAAAGCTAGAAGGGAGGAACTGAGAGGAGAGGACCTCCCTTCTGTGTGCAGCAGGCTCTTGCATCACCCAAGTCCCCCAGCCCCCATTTTTCTTCAAGGAACAAAATAGAGAACAGTTTGATGGAAAAGTCCTGTTTCCTCCCCTCATTTATCGCATGGGCCGGGCTTCAAAAGCATCTCGAACTTGGACCATAAACTTCTTTTATAAATACCGTGTTTCCCTTGCAAGCTCTGCCTCACTGCAATGGCCGAAGTTTTGTCATATGCTAGATGAAGATGTCTGACAAAAATCAATAATGCTGAAGTCCCAACACTGGTTTCTGCGTGGCTTTCAATTACTTCCTCCGTTGTTTGTCACTGGGAGGATATATGGGGGGGGGGGGGGGAAGGAGCCTGCTTGTCTTCGATCAGCTCTGCATACGTCGCTTTTATGCTCGGAGCCCTGAAGCCTGATCCGGGGAGCACGCTCGCTCGCCTGCGAAGGCCTCAGCGCAGGGAATGAGGATCGTGTCCTTGCTCTTGTGCAGCTCCCATTCACTTCCACGGAGCTTGCACCGCAAGCATTTGGCCGTCGGAGCCACAGAAGAGCGAAATCCACTGCCCGTTCCAAAAGTCCATGGCTGCGTCCGTGTTGGATGAAGCTCTGAGCCAAGGAGGAGGCTCTGGCCACCCAGGGGCTCAGGAAGGGGGAGGGATGGGCACTCTCCCCCGCACCAGGGCCGCTGCTTTCCCGACCACCCCATCTGCTTCACCTTGTTGCTGCCTCCCTCCCCAGTCAGGAACCCTGCTCCTTAGTTCGGTGGCCTTGGCCCAGCGGAGGTGGCTCCAAGCCATCACGCACCTTTCGTCTTGCAACTCCATGTGAAGGAGCCCACTGTGCCTTTCAGCCAGCCAAAACCTTTGCCAGGGAAAGAGCGCAAGCAGCAGCTGCTTCCCCGCATCTCCATTTCCCCTCAGAGATGGAGAGAAGGCTGCAGAAACGCAGTGCTCCTTTTCGTTCTCCCAACCACTGCTGGCTTGGGCTTGCTGGTTTTCTGGCTTTTCTGCAGGCATGCAAGTAGGCCTGAGACAAAGAGGCCTTCCTAGGGGGAGTGGCATTAAGAGGGCTCTTTCCCAGCAGAAGGTTTGCAGGTTCCCCAAACACAGGCGCTCATCTTTCACTCTTGCTTTGCTTTCATATATCCCCAGCATTTTCATGGGAAGAGTAGAGAGCAGGCTTTGCAGAACCCTGGCACTTGACGCAAACGTCTTCTTGCCCTGCTGTAGATGCCCAGTTTCCCAGGACCAAAACACGCTTGGCCCACCTGTGTGCTGGGCAGGCAGCTGGGGCAGGGCAGCAGCCCCCTTTTCTTCTGGCGCTCCAGCAAGAAGAGGAGCGGCCTGTTCCAGTTGCTTTCTCATGTTGTGCATGCACTTTTCCAACCATTAAAGCTGCTTTTTAAAACACGGACATTAAATCTTGATTCCTTCATCAGAGAGCTTCCCTGCTCACAGGAGTCGAGTGCCTGTGTGTCTGACTTGTATGAAAGGGACAGGTGAGGTGCTTACCTGGGAAGGGATGCTGACTTGGGAGCAGGGAAGGGGAACCAAGAAGTGGACTGGCCTGTGAGTCGCAGCGGAAGGCAGGCAGAGAACAGGTCCCCTACTCAGTCTCCAGGATGGATCCCCATTTGGGCAACACCTGGGTTCCCAGGACGCAGGCGGCAGATCAATGGGCGCTGGGTGCCCTCTGCCCTCCTGCATCGTGCCAGCTCAGCACCTCCCACTGGGTGAAGGAGAACCCACGAGGTGCCCCATCAAGCTGCACCCTCCAGGGGCCAGTCCCAGCCTCTCTGTGCTCCCCTTGCGATAAGACCCGAAGCAGGCTGGCAGGTCTGCCCCAGGTGCCTTCGGCCTCGGTACTCATGCCAATCTGCCAGACTTTGGTTCTCCCCTTTGGCAGGGCACTCTGCAATGGCATCATCTGTATCTTTTTTGGGGTTCCCCTAACTTTTCTCACCCTGCACAAAGACCAGCGTTTTTCAGAAGAAAGGCAAAGCAGTGCCATTTGGGTGCTTTCCTTGGGTGCCACACTTCCCCCCTTTTAAAAAGGGGCTGTGTTGACACGAGTGTTGATACGACCCCTTTTCCCCCACTTTCAATTTAGGCTAAAATGTTTTGCAGGCTTTTTGCAAAGACAGAATAGCTTGTCAACCAGCGGGGCTCCTTTGCACCAGGCAGTTCCCTTGCAAAACTGTGCCCCACAGCACGCCACACACCTCGGCTCTCCGGGAGCTGCATCAAGCGTGGAGAGAGGGCACCTTGCTAAAAAGGCACCTTCTAGCCCAAAAGGCCAACGGAGAACCCCCCTCCCCGCCCTTGAACGAGTAGGAAGGCAAGCTTTGTGTGGCCCGATGCTGCCCCCTTGTGGCGAGATGTGGAGATGGCTTGCACAGCCTTCGCAAAGAGGGACACCTGCCCCGTACCTGCAGTGTGTACCTGGGGATCGCCCACAGTCTGCCTTCAGGAACTCTCTCCTCTCCCCCGGTGTTCCTCACGTCTCTTTTCCTGCTCCTCCTCATGCAAGAGGCAACACACCTGCAGTGCCGGTTCATGCTACCTGAGGCTCGAGTGGGACCAGGCGAGCCTGCAGCCTCCCAGAGCAACCTTGCAGGTAGGTTAGCATTCTGTTTTGTTTTGGTCTGTTATCTTTCCATCCCACCTTTTTCCTCTAAGGCAGCTTCCACAACCATCCTCACAGAAACATAAAAACAGAGTGAATCAGAAGGGGCCTCCCAGGCCATCTATTCTGACCCCCAGCTCCAGCCGGCTATGCTCATGACATGCCTGCCATCTCCTGTTCTCCCCCACAACAGCCCTGTGAGGTAGACTAGACTGGCCCAAAGTCACCTGGATGTTCCAGGGCTGAGTGAAACAGTCCAACACTCTGACCGCCTCACCCCCTCCCATCGCTGTATTACAAATGGGGGTGGGGAGTCATCATGCCAAGAGATGAGGACTGAGGACTTTTAAGAAGTGCTGTATATATTTATGATAAAAGACAGCCTCTTCAAAGTCCTTTGA